TCCATCAATAAGTATGTTTTAACTACCAGAAATGTTTCAGTTGACCTCCCCATTTAATCTCCTGGCTTCCCTCCTGGCTTCTCTCTTGACAAGTGTACTTGGACTGATAATGTACTGTAAAAGTTTCTTATTCTTCGTGGTCTCAGTGTATCACACATACAGGCTCTTCACACATCTGTGGAGCAGTTTTTCGGGAAGATTCTAAAGCTGACTAATTAGTATTCGGCAGGATCCCGGTCTAGTAGAACTACTTCCAGTTCTATTGGAAGTAGTTTCTTCCGTAGAACTGGGAAGCTGAGGCATTCTTCCCTCTGGCTCTCATATTTCCTCAAAGTTGCTGTCAGGGGGCCGGGAAACCTTCTGGAACAGATGAATGGATGACACAGAGGAGTGCAAGGGATAGGAGTGAGGAGGAAAGCCCTCTTGCATTGGATTTAATGGTCAATTTTAAAAGCCTGATAAGTAGCTATTGGAAATCACAGAGACCATGTGGTTTCAGAGGCACATGACTGTTTGGCCAGTTACAGGCAGAGAACTAACCTAAAGATTGCATTTATTGCCAGATTAGAGATGAGGGCGTCTGGAAAAAAAATCAGAGAACTTTGAGGGGTGGCGGAAATGTATTTATTCCAAGCATTTCTTTTTCTTTCCAAAATTGGGATAGTTTTGAAATATTTAACACTTTATTTTAGAATGATGAATAAAATGTTTTCAGACAAGATGCTCATATATTTCTGCCCAATTTTTACAACCCCAAAATGATTTCTGAATCCTGTTTAATAGGAAAACATTTGAAGGAAGACTAAAGGCATAACATTTCTGGATATTTTGACGCTAGTTTGGAAACATTTTTCTGTTCTTTCTTTTTAGATTCCCAGGAGGTATTTTCATTCCTTATTAAAGTTGTGAATCTAATGTATGCTTTAGGGATGTTTCAGTTCATGTTCAGTTTCCCCAGAAATCACTAGTATCATAGCACCATAATATGTGAAGAAAATAGGTACTTGTGACAGTCTGAGTTTTGTACTATAGAGTCCTGTGTTTCTGGGGGTGTTTGAGTTAGAAGCTACAGTAATCAATGAATATAGCTTGAAAATTCAAATCTAAGAGAAACACACTCGTGTTATTTCATGTCATGCCTGATGGCTCAACAGAGACGTCAACTTGCGAGAAAGAGTCAAATGTTCAAAATGAGAATCAGACATTAGAACAAGATGACTTATACTTGGGGCCCAGTAGCCAAACGGCCCTTCCACAGCCCGACTCTGGGACTGCTGAGCAAATAGCCCCGCCACAACCTGACTCTTTGCCTTCTGAACAAATAGCCTCATCACGGCCTGATCATGAGGCTTCTGAACGGGAGGCTTCTCCTCATCCTGACTCTGAGGTGTGTGAGCAAGTTGCCCACCCCCGCCTCCTGACTCTGAAACTGCTGGACAGAGTCCAGGAGATACAGAAGATGTAACATCTTTAGCCAATGCCAATCTTAGCCGAAGTTTAAGACGATTGGAACAAATGAGAAAACAGGACAGGGGTTTGTCCCGCCCACGAGCGGAAAGACGTGACAGGAAAAGCTAATCCCACGTGGGCTCCCCAGAGACTTCACGAAGGGGTAAGCAACTGACCTATTAAGGCCTTCTCATTAGAGCTTATCTGTTACATCATAAATCTTGTAGAAAGTAGCAATGAAAGACTTTAGTTTTATAGCCGGCTGCTGTGTGAGTTAATTGGGGACGTGAGTTATGACCTCACGACATTTCACCACTGCCACTACATGCAATGGGAGGAAGTGTATTATCCCACTTTGTCCCTTTTTAAATATCAAATAAGCAAATATTGAGTCCTGGATCTATGCAACTTCATTTTTAATAACATCCCCAGTTAGACCCACCTCTAGGCTAGGCTGCCTCAACTATAACGTCTTTTACTGCTACCACCGAAGCAGCCTAAAAGGAACTTTAAAAGCAGCCTAAAAGGAACTTTCACCAGTAGAGAAGCCATTTAAAACAAACAAGAACTAAGATAAATAATTAAAAGATTTTTTTTACAAAAGGGGATAAAATGTCACTCTTCAACTAATAGGTTGTGATTGCTTGAAAGTTTTTAAATTAAATATGCTTAATTACCATGCCTAATTGGTGAGAGAGTCTTCACCTACTAAATAGATACTCACTTGCTTTTTCTTCATACCAGATTTCCCTAAACTCTAACCTAAGGAACTCTTTGCCTGCAGAAACCAGTAATCCTTCTTCTTTTGGCTTTTAAGATAACCTCGATACCTCAGGGACTAATTCCCCAAGTTCCTACAATGTATTGTATGTAGTTTTATGAATTTTATCATGTTTTGCATATTACATTTTATAGCACATGCTACTGTACCTCTTCCCTGTGCAAGGCCAAGAAAACAAGTAATTCTCAGAGCAAGTGTGGGAATGTTCATTTCCGCATGAAACAGTTCAGCAGAGTGCCTTCCTGTGTGATTCCTGCTGTCCTTCACTTTACCGAAAGATAATGTCCACTTACTGCAGTTACTATAGCTTCCTGTTCCCTGAGTATCACTGGAATAGATTATTCAGAGAAAATTACAAATTTGTAAGGATACAATCCTGTCACATATAAGCAGTGTCTGAAGTAAACTAGGAGACACTAGTTTTACTAAGATTGCCTGTTCTGAAGACTTGAAAGCCGAAACTCTTAACACAGAGCCGTATAGTCTGTACAGAAATAACCACAGCAGTTGTATCTCCAAGGTCAGAAATCAACCTTGGAGAAAGCTAGGGTGGTGTGCTGGCAGCCTAAGGAGAGGAAAAGCTTTGGGCTGATACCTTTTATCATATCCAAATGGCACCACAGCCTCCTTCTCTTCTCCATGGTGTTTCAACTAAATGGCTGGATCTCTCCATGTAGATGAAATACAGAGCATGAAGTGTAGACTGGTGGAAATTGAACATGTCAGCCTCCATGCTCAGAGCATTGTGCATTGAGGGCAGGTGACAATGGATCATTTCCTAACTGATTTACTTGCAAAGATTTTAAATGTTAATGACAATTTTATAAGCAAAGTCATACATAATTTGATGTTCTTAAAGTACAAACTGACTAGATGATTGTGAAGAGCACTTTTAAAAATTGCATATTCTTCCAGTTTTCCCAAACTGTCCAGAAATTTACATCTTTAGTTGCAATATACTTTTTGGATAACTTTCAAAAATAATAGATTTTTCTGCAATGTAGAATTGCTTTTGAACTTGTAGTGTCCATAGAAAGTGGCTGTTCAATATGAAAGAGCTGTTTCTAAAAGAAAATTGCACAATTTTCACATTTTCCAGCATATCTTTCTTACGAAGTAATTCTAGTGGAATAAATTTATCTTCCCCCATCCTTTCAACAGAGTGAGGTACTTCTGTAAGGTTAATTTTATTCAAGTTGTCATCATTTTAAGGCTAGACTACTGTATTAGACTTTACACTGAACTGCCATTGATTACTGGCCAGTTGCTTCAGCTCGTGTAAAACAGAATGGTCTTCCTCTTTGCTGGAGTGAGTTGCAGAGAACAAAATGCATTAGTTCCCCTGAAATTTTCTGGATACAATTCTAGCACTTAGTTGATCAGACTTCTACAAGACTGCCGTCCCTTTATTGTATCATAGCTGCTCAGAGCAACTCCACATGAGCAAGAACATGTTCTTGTCGCTGCTTTGCAGCTGTAGAATTCTTTTCTTCTAGAGTTCTGTCAAAAGTCTAAGCATGAATATTCATTATACGGCTTTTGACTAGCATACCATGATGAAGGTTAACGTGGTGCTAAGTTTTCAATTTTAACTGAGTTAAGCTTTGTTATTACAATGGGTGTTGTGATTTTTACTGTTACCCATTTTATCTCATACTCAACATCCTTGGGCACTTCTAAATGGAAAGTGCAAATATATTTAAAATTAATTAATTAATTTTTAATTAAAAAGTCATGTGATAAACTAATATAAAAATTTAATGGCAGGCAAAGGCTTGGTAAAAATGCAAGCAGAGAAATGGTTCTGTGTTTAATGGTAAGGGAATCTTTGCCCATATATTGTGGTATTATATCCTGTTAAAGCACATTTAAAGAAGTTAATAAGCATCATCACAGAAATCACAGGTTACATGTTGCAATTAACCCCAACAACTATTTTCCTGGATGATATTTAAGATCAGATCCCTAAACATTTTGTGGACTGGAAAGTTGCATGTTAATAGGAACAAGATCCTCTTAGCAAAAGTCTGGTGGTGAATATGAATACTGCGTACAGTTTCTGGTACAAAAGAAAAAGACTGCCATGGTGATGAATAAAATAACATGTTTTTTAGAAGAGAGAAGAATGTATCCCATCAAGACTTGGATACTTTTATTGATCCTTTAGTGGGACAGCTTCTGGCCAGGAGATTTAGCAAGCCTCATTCATTCATTCATTCATTTTTGGATTTATATCCTGCCGTTTTCCTACAAAGGGCTCAAGGCAGCTTACATCTCTTCCTCCATCTTATCCCCACAACAACCCTGTGAGGTAGGTTGGGCTGAGAGTCCGTGACTGGCCCAAAGTCACCCAGTTGGCTCCATGGCTGAGCGGGGACTAGAACCCAGGTCGTCTGAGTCCAAGTCCCATGCTCTTAACCACTGCACCGCACTGGCTCTCCAGTAGGTTATATGTGGTAGGTTATAATGTAACTGCCTCAAATTATTGGGAAACAAAATTAAAGATATATATAATAAGCACAGAAAGGGTTGGAAAGCAGAAGGCTTGCTGAATATTTTAACACTGAGATATATTACATGAATTGTCTTTGAGAGGAATGATTGAACCTGGCTTTAAAAAGGTCAAAAGTCAATTTCTGTTTTTGAATAATTTTTGGTCTATAATTTCAGCAACTCCATAGGTGTGTGTGTGTGTGTGTGTATTGGGGTGAGAGGAAATTTTATTATTATGTGTATGAGTCTCACATGCATTCTATTTTTTTTTCCTTAGATGTCTGAACGCATGTACCTATTGCAAAACTAAGCATGCCAGGGGAGAACTGGCAAGTTATCCTGTTGAAGAGCTAGTAAACAGAGCCAAGCAATCCTTTCAAGGTAGGGATTTTTGTTTTATTTATTTTGTTCTCTTAATCAACAAGTTGTCATTATCTATCAAAAACTGTAACAGTATGGATGTGACTGTGCACTGGTAGGATTTCAATATATATCTGTATTTGTTTATTTAAACCAAACAAAATTCTACATTTGGTTTTGTCAGGATATTTTTTTCCTGAAGATTTTAATGATACTTTCTTCTTTTTGATGTGCTAGAGTAGAAAAGAAAATCTGGAAAAATATACATTCTCATTCCAGGGATTAATATTTAGTTTTATTATTTCTATCAACATTCCAAAAGTGTTCTGCATTCATATAAATACTTTTTAAAAAGACACTACTACATGAATATACAGAACTAGCAACTTCGGTATATAGCACATTATTCCTCTGTAGTATATTGTAAAACATATCTTAAAGTAAAGGTAAAGGTTTCCCCTTGACGTTACGTCCAGTCATGCCTGACTCTAGGGGGCGGTGGAATCTCCGTTTCCTAGCCGAGGGAGCCAGCGTTTGTCCACAGACGGTCCCCGTGGTCATGTGGCCGGCATGACTAAACACCGAAGTGCATGGAACGCTGTTACCTGCCCACCGAAGTGGTACCTTTTTATCTATTTGCATTTGCATACTTTTGACCTGCAAGGTTGGCAGGAGTTGGGACAGAGCAACGGGAACTCACCCCATTGTGCTGATTCGAACCGGCAACCTTTTGATCAACCGGTCCAGCAGCACAGCGGTTTAAACCACTGCCCCACCTGCAGTCCCAAACATATCTTACTCGCATTAAAATTATTTTCTTTGATGCTGTATTCAGTTAAGATCAACATGAGGGAAATCAATAGGAATCCTCAAGTGTCCGCTCAGTGACCAGTCTCTTTTAATTAAATGGTCCAATTGCAAACATTTTTCTTCAGCAAAAGTATCTATAAAATTAAGGATTGCACAGTTTTTAAAAAATGCTATTGATGCTTACCTTGTATTAGTATGAATCAAATGCACTTGTGTTTTCATTGAAAATGTATCGGTTCCATCTGTTTTAGTGGCAGTTATTTCTTGGTTACTTTTCTTTATTGCCACACTCTTTCATAGCATTTGGTTGAGTAGTTCTGAGCTGCCTAATTCTATGTCAGGTTACCAGGTCAGCAACAGCCAGAATGGAAATTAGGTGGCTGTGGCCCAGGTGCACAGGTTAGATCAGCCTCAGGCATTGTGGGAAGCTTCAAAGGCCAAGAAGGGATTTTTTTTTTTTTTAAAGGAATGCAAAACTAGAATCTGTAGCAGTTAGCATAATTCTATGCATTGAAATTATGTGCATTCACTTAAATGCTATTATCCTGTTGTTCAGAGGTAAGTAATTGCCTGGCCATATGCAGCCTTTCACTGCCCCCAGTATGGCTTGCCAATCTCTAGGGATCCCTGCCCAGTTTTTTCTTCTAAAGATCAGCTGGGCTTCAGGAGAAATACTGCTGTTTTCTGTGCCAGGACAAGAAGAGCTCCCACCCTGTCCAGTGATCCTGATGCAGCTGTAATCTTTAGTACTATAGTTATTCATCTCCACTTGTAAATGTGCGTGGTAGATACAGATATTTAGAAATTGCAAGCTGTGACAGTAAAATGATTTTTAGTTTCTTGGTTCTTAACATATTGTATATTATGTTCTATTGTGGCATTGTGTGGAAGTGTATAATTTGAGTCAGATGATTTGTTTTACATCAGTCAAATAGATAGAAGCAGTAATCCTTCCTGTACACGTCTTCTGGAATAAGCCCCATGGAACACCTTCAGACTTCTGAGTCAGCATGAATAGAATGATTTTGTAAATGCATTGGAAAATCGCTATGAAACAAGAGATAGTCTTAGATACTTGAAATATTTAATTTCAAGCCAAGTTCGGTTCGTATTATCTCAAAAACGTGTCCTTTGCAGTATAGCTATTGTCATTGAAGCAATTGGTGTGAGCTTGAGTGGACTCCTGGGGATAGTGGAAGACAGGAAGGCCTGGAGGGAATGTTCTCCATGGGGTCGCGATGGGTCGGACACGACTTCATGACTAACAACAACAACATTGTTACTTCCTTCAGTAGAAGCCAAAGTGTTTGTTTAGAATCCCCTTAGAGTTTTATATGAAGACTTTTCTGATGACAATGTAAGGTTTATTATACTTAATGCTTTCTCCTCTTGCTTTGAAATTTGTTTTATTCTTGACCATTGTTTAAAGTTTGTTTGCATTTTTTAAATTGCATATAGCAGTCCCTTTAATTTGAGACTTTTTTTAGCTTTGCATATTTTTCACTGGCTCAGCATTAAACAATTTGTGTATCATGGCATTGTTTCACTGTCTTTTGTTGAAGTCCCCTAAGACTTTAAGTGACATGTTGTTAGGCATAATGGAAGGAAGGTCAACAAAAAGGGACCCTGTTTGTTCTTGGCACTACAAGTATTTGCTTTTGATTAAATCCAAAATATTTTTTTACCGTCATGTTTGCTGAAACCCTTTCAGTGTCCTTACTTAATAAATAAATGTAGTTCTGCTTTCACTATACACTTAAGATCTGATCGACACATGCTGTTTATGGGATGCTGCTTTGCCTAAAATGTCATAGTATTTATTTACGTCTGCCTTTTTACACTTTTTTTAAACTTTGCCTTTCTGTGCAAATTCATATTCAAAATGTTTTGAAGTGTTTCAAAACAAGAACAATTTAAGAAAATAATTAACTAGCTCCAATAAATCTAGCATAACATAATTATATAATTAAAACATGAATGCCCTTAAAATTCCTAACTTAAAAAAACAGATGAAATCAAATCAGATCAAATCAGCAAGCAGTGAAGAGGCCAGACACACATCTCTAGCAAGGCTGTTTCATGACCTAGGCACTACAGACAAAAAAGCACTTTGTCTTGTCTCCATCATTTGTGGAGGGAGACCAAGAAGAACCTTAGAGTGTAAAGCATTGAGCAGAGTTTCTGAACAGTTCATATTTGAGCAGGTGATTCCTGAGATCGCCTGGATTTAATATACTTGTTATCTGCTGTCAAGTCATCTCCAATTTATGGCAACCCTATGAATGAAAGCCCTCCAAGATGTCCTGTTCATGACAGCTCCATTCAGCTCTTCCAAGTTGAAGGCTGTGGCTTCATTTATAGATTAAATTCATCTCATATTTGGTCTTCCATTTCATCTTCTGCCATCAACTTACCCTAAAGAGATTATCTTCTCCAGTGAGTCTGGCCTTCTCATGATGTGTCCAAAGTATGACAGCCTCAATTTTGTCCTTTTTTTACTGGCAGAAAAAAAAAACAAACAAACGACTGCAGCATGAAGGAAGCCCTGTGTAGGCCTTATTTTTTCTATACTGCTGAATAGGCAATTGTAGTAATCCATTTGGGAAGTGACCAGGGAAAGGTTAATCATGACAAGATCTAACTTCACCAGGAGAAGGTCACACATTAGAAAACTGCAGCTGGCATGCAAAATAAAGTTGATAAAATGTACGCCTGGCCACTGTTACCACCACATGCAATGGTGATAGCACATACTGGTGACATCTTAGCCCAGCTGTCCATATGACATCACTTGGACTGTTCAAATAAATATTGAGGAATTTTGAGAGAAGGTGGAATCTCGGGGAACCGCACATGTCATAAAGTGAATCAGATTCCCTCAGCCAGCTTTCTGTAAGTTGTCTTTCAGAAGAGACAGGAACCACCACAAAAGAATGTCTCCCAAGCTCATCCCAGCAAAGCAACTCAGAGCAGAATATCACAGTCAATATTACTGAAAGCTGCTAAAAATCACCAGGAATTCCCTTTTCATCTCTCTGTAGAGGGTGACTTGAGAAATTACAGGTCTGACACTAGATTGGAACATATCCAAACAATCACTTCCATCTAAGAAAATAAGGAGCTGGATTGGCACTATGCGCTTATTAGGTGAAGACTAAGCAAGAATTGTTTAAATCAGAAGGGCAAATCAGATGACTTCTTGCAAAGGGGTATCACCATTGCCCATTTAAGGGGATCTAGGACCGCAGGGAGATTGACACAGTCCCTTGTCCATATCATAGCTGATCTAACACAGATTGTATATGTCTGCTATGATTGCATTGAATAACACAGTACATACATCTGTAGCAATTTTCAGAGGGTATGCTTTAAGTGTGTGTGTGTGGGGGGGGTAAGAGTAACACTTTTTAACCTAATCACCCTTTGCCTTTAAACAAAAGGATTGATGCTTTTGATATGGATAATTAGCACATAGTCCTTTAATTGTTTAGAAAAGGGGACCCCACCAAAGGCTCAGGGGCACCTCCAATTGTACCCACAAAGGAGTCTCCAATACCCTCCATTTTTATTTACATTTTTTTTTCTGTTTTGTCATTGCATGTCCAGGGATTTGAACAAATTGCATACAACATTCTGGCAATTATACATAGACTTCAATAAAGGTGCATAAATATCCCGCTAAGTGTTCATTTGACGTTGGTATATATATGCCATTTGCTTATGTATCAAAAGTGTTATAACGTCCGCAATCTATTATAGGAAGTGAGTGTTTCTTCTTCTAGTTTTCTAATATCAACCCTTTGGGTGTCCAAAGGGCATAGAAAATTAATTTTCCCTTTGACTGTTAATTTCAATAAAGCAGGTAAGAATTTAAAGGAGCATGTACACCAGTAAATACTAAACATTGTCTCAGTACAACATTTATCTGTGTAATAATCTCCTTCCAGAAAGATTTAACTTCTGGACATTGCCAAAACAAATGCTTAAAATAAACATTAGCTGTGTTGCACTGCCAGAAATTAGCCAAAATAGACAATACTGTATGAAAGATATTTTATGATGTCCAGTAGATAGGAAACAACCTTTTTTGCTCAGTAGGAGGCAAGCTAAGCTCCTCCTACTGAGCAATCCATGACAGTGGCAATCCATTGATAAGGCATTCTTTGGTGGCACCCGCAGTAGTTTCTCAGGCACCCAAATATGTCCATGGG